ACATTCCTATCTAATCAGACCGGCGTTCATCCTGAGAACCAGTTCAGACATCATCTCTACTAGGAAGCCTTCCCTGACCACTCCCCGTCTCCCTGAGAGTTCTCTCCTGCCCTTACGCTGCCAAAAGCCTTATGCTTTCCATGCTGCTTTTAAGACACAGTGTGCCTTTCTGACTGTACTGTGAATGCTCAGAGTGCAAAGATAGGATCTGACTTATGACCCTTCCTGGGATGTAGCATGGTGCCTGGCATATGTTTAAATTGGGGGTCCGAAAAGATGAAATGGAAAGACACAGTGTTTAAGGAGCAGCCAGTCTAGTAGAGGGACCCTCCCATAGCAAGAGACCCAAATAAACACTATCAAGTCCACGTGTTGGCAGACTGAAGGTTCCCAAACTCTATGCGGAAGTGCGGAAGGAGGTGGAAGCTGTGGCGAGGGAGGATCCATCTGAGTTGTCAAGAAGGCAGCAGAGTTTGGCAGGAAGAAGGACAGGCATTCTGGTCGATCAGCAGCACTGACGAGAGGCACCTTGAGTGGAGCCTGACCCAGCTGTGCAAAGTAACAGAGCGAGTTGTGTGCTGGGCATGGAGAGCTTTGCTCAGCCACGGTAGTGTCCTGGAGCCAAGATGTAATGAGAACCGAGGTCAGCTCCATTACAGGGCGGGTGAAAGGGCTGAGGGCGGGAAATCCTGTTCAAGTCCGGGATTGCAGGAGGCTTGTGTTACATGAACCCAGTCAGCCTCTCCACTCGGCAATGAGCAGAGGGTATTATGATCAGTCTAGTCAAGACTTGTGTCCAGAGTTCAGTGAGACACTAGGAAGTCATCTAATTGATTTCAGAGCGGAAGGGAGAGGGAGAGAGAGAGAGATTGAAACCTCAATGATGAGAATCATTCATCAGCTGCCTTCTGCACGCCCCCCACCGGGGACTGAGCCCACAACTAGGGCATGTGCCCTGACTGGGAATTGAACTGTGACCTCCTAGTTCATAGGTTGACACTCAACCTCTGAACCACACCAGCTGGGCAATTGGCTCAGTTTTATAGGTTCTTAAACAGAGAGAATCTTGCAGATCTACTTGTTTTAGTATTTTGAAAGTCAAGACATACTAATCTCCAGAAACAGTTCTTCTATTCAGTCATGACCATTCAGCCAGAAAGCATGAGTGAAGCCCGTCCAGGTAATGCACGCTGCAGCACACGCTGGAAGGCAGTTCTGGCAGCTGTGACTGGCCACAGCGGGGCTGGAGCAGACGGGAGTGCTGTGGAGGGAGTGCAGACTTCAGACAGCAGACCTGGCAAGCATCCCGCCTCCACCTGGACAGGGTGACCTTTCTGAACTTCAGAGTCCTGTGAGGGAGAAAAGTGTGATCTGTAACATTCTTCCAGTGTTGGAAGGACTAGAACAGCCTTCAAGACACCTGTCACAGTACCTAATGCACAGAAGGACCCCATGCTTAGCTCTACTATTATTAGAAATGGGGGAATATATGCAATATTTGATTAGTACACATTTATTTTGCCTGTTTGTTTCTTGTCATTTGTTTGTCAAACAAGCTCCTCAAGGACCTTGTCGTTCTCATTTCTCGGATCTCCAGTTGGCCTGGCACATGATGAGGGCTCAGTAAATCTGGTTGAAAGAATGAGTCCTACAGGTAGCCAGGGATGAGCCTGGACCAGAGCCTGGAAGAGGAGGAAAGGAAGACAGGCTAAGAGGAACCGAGGGGGAAGGAGAGACAGGCTGTGGTCAGTCCTTGGGAGGATTCTGACGTGACAGCAAGTCTGGGCTCTTAACTTTGAGGGGAGTTGGGGAGGGGGAATGCTTTGAAAGGGATAGTGGTACGTTCCTGTGGTTTATTACCAAGTGTTAAGCATTGTTGGGCACGGAATGTCCAAGACTCGGTGTCTGTAGTCTCTGGGATGGAAATACCACATTACCGTGTCCTCGGAACACTCCTCAGAAGAGTGAAGAGTTGAAACAGCCCAAGGAGGCCCAAGCAGGTGTGGTTTAGGCAGTCGCCACTTCCTGACCACTCCCTTGACTCACCTTAATTTATTTAATCTTCACAAAGATTCTTTGAAGTAAGTGCTATTATCAACCCATCTTAGAGTCGAAGAAATCAAGGCTTAGAGTGATGAGGTCACTTGCCCAAGGGCACATAGCCTTTTTACCTTTTAAAACTGGATGTCATTCCAGAACAAGCAAGTGGAGGAGATACTCAGGGCAAGGTCTGGGGAAAGGGCCAGGACTTTCCATGCCTTCTCCAGGCCCGCCACGTGTTCACCAGCCTGGAACCTTAACAGGGCAGAACCTTCCCCAGCTGCACTCTGATCCTAGAGTCGGATGGAGTTCACCATCGAGACACTGTTCTGCATCTATTGCTAGAAAACTGTATTGCTATTGAAGTTTAAGTAAAACTTAAAATGTTTACTTAAGCCGAAACCGGTTTGGCTCAGTGGATAGAGCGTCGGCCGGCGGACTGAAAGGTCCCAGGTTCGATTCTGGTCAAGGGCATGTACCTGGGTTTTGGACACATCCCCAGTGGGAGATGTGCAGGAGGCAGCTGATCGATGTTTCTCTCTCATCGATGTTTCTAACTCTCTATCCCTCTCCCTTCCTCTCTGTAAGAAATCAATAAAATATATTTAAAAAAAAATAAATAAATAAAATAAAATGTTTACTTAAAATAGTAATTGAATAAATAAGAAGACAAAAATAGCATTTCTTCTCTCCCCGTTCTTCCTCTCCCCCCACCCCCAGTGAGAAAAAACGCAAGCCTGCGTGGACTGACCGTATCCTGTGGAGGTTGAAGCGGCAGCCCCACACTGACTCCTGTACCCCAAGGCGGCCGGCCCCCCACCTCTCCCTGTCTCTGAGGAGCTACATCAGCCACATGATGTACACCATCAGTGACCATAAACCTGTCACCGGCACCTTTGACTTGGAGGTGAACTTCCGGGCTGCCCAGCACTTGGCAGAGGAGCAGCCATGCTGGGCCACATCCCCAAACCCTCCAGCCCTGGATTCTAATGTCAGCAGATCCCCCGGGGGAGACCTGTAGGGAGACATGATTGCCTTTCCTCCCAGGTCAGGTGTCCCTGCGCTTAGGAGCTGTTGATGGCTCTGCCTGTCACAAACGGCTCAAACCCTGTGTGAATAGGTTTCCATTTCCTCTTGGTACTGTCCCTCGGGGCTGAGTTCCATTATGTTTATTACCTACTATGTGAAGTTGGACTTCCTTTTTGTCTGAACCTATCTGGATCAGGTTGCAAAGGGAGCTCCCTCCATCCTTGTATTTTGCCATCTAATGACCAAGTCAGTGTTAACCTTTGAGCTGCTGACTGCCCTCACCTTTTCATACTGGTTTGTCTGTCTTTACACCATTTGTTCTTTCTACACACCTACAGCTGTTCCTACCACCGGCACCCTTCCCCTGAAAAACTGAATTTGGGTCTTTGGGCAGGAACCCCGAAGGTCTGAGAACAGCTACCTGGCTCCTTAAACCTGTTAGCAATTTCCCCCTCTCTCACCCCCCAGCACTGGACTCTCTGCTTGGTTACCCACCTGACCCTCAGCTCTGTCCCTCCTGCCAGGACCAGTGACCCCTGACAAGCCTTTGGTCTTTCTCTTTCCAGCTGGCCAGCCAAGGTCTGCTACTTTCTCTAGTATTCTATGCCCACCACCCCTGTGCCCCTCCTCTGACCCTTACGCGTTGGAAGGGCGCAATAAGGACATTTATCTCAGAGAAGGGAATGATGCTATGGATTTTCAACCCCTTTCCTATCCCTGTGTGTAGCTGAAGCCATTGGTATCTGTCCCACTGATCTCCCTGATGCCAGAGGGCCTGTGGACCATGGAGAATGCTATGCTTATCAACTACTCTTTCACCCCAGACTTCCCCAGCAGCCCCTGGGACTGGATTGGACTGTACAAGGTGATGTGGTGGGCGAGGCTGGGAAGCCATCAACCCCCTCCCCTACCCCCCGCCCCTTCTAGTTTATCCATCCTGAGGGCTCTTGGGAGCTGGACACAGAGACTAAAGAACATCTAGGGGCTGGCAGTGAAGGAGAGGGTATACAGTATGATAGCCAAACCTAGGAATGAGACCACCCTCTCCTTAGGATTTGCTGTAGGTCCTGTGTCCTCCCAGACTACTGACTGCCCAATCCCCCCTCCCACAGGTGGGGTTTCGCCACATTAATGACTACGTGTCCTATGTCTGGGTCAGGGACAACCAGGTTTCCTTCAACGACGGGTTGAACCAGGTACCTGCCCCCTTCCTAAGATAGGTATTCCACATCTCAGCAGGCGGGCTTGGCTGCTGGATAACTAGTTGCCAAGAGCTGGGTGGGACTCAGGGCCCTGGAACTGATCCCATTCCTGCCCACCTTCCCCTCCAGGTTTATATCAACATCAGCGATATCCCGGAGACTGAAGATCAGTTTCTCCTCTGTTACTATAGCAACAGTCTACGTTCCGTGGTGGGGATAAGCAATCCGTTCAAGGTAACGGTAACGTGGTGGGGTAAGGGGAAAGGGACACAGAGGACTTGAGCTTGAGCCCCTCCTCCATTCCCTGAGACCATAGGCCTAGGAGCCAACCAGTACCTGGAGCTGCAGCAGTTGGGGAATACCAGTGATGGAACAGCGGAGGAAAACCTGCTCATTCCCCTTCCACTCACTGCCTGTCTCATCCCCACAGATCCAGCCTCAAGCCTTCTTGGAGGAGGACCCACTGGGTGAAGTCCAACCACAGATCTGAGCCTAGATGAGGGGAATCCAGGGCGGAGGCCAGAGCGGGCGGCCAGCTCTGCTCACCACTTCCAGGAGTGCTGGGGGCCCAGCCAGCCCCCTGAGGCGGCAGCAAGTATCCTTCCCCTCCCAGGGGAGTTCTAGCCACACTCCTTTGCTCTCTCCAGTCCAGATCTCGGGAATTGGCCACTCAAATACAGGTTTTTTGCTGAGATGATTGAAACCAACTAATTTGTCAACAGTGAAGACCTACCTGGGGGCTGTCCACTGGATGTGGGAGGGACCCTCCAGCTTGCATCTCATTTCTTGCTTTTCCCCACACACACTTCCAGTCCTGCCCAAGCAGGCCTGCCAGGCACATGCCCCATCTGGCACAGGCCTGCATTCTTGTCACACCATCCTGGGCCTCAGGCTGCTGGGGGGGAGGGGGATGCTCACATTTGTACAGGCTCCATAGACTGGTTGGTGCAAGAAGCGCTGGGTTCCAGGAGTCTTGGCATCTCATTGCCTGTCTCCCTGAGGGACGGGAAGAAGGTCTTTGAACAGAAGCAGTGTGACTGAGTGGGCAGGATGGAGGGGCCCCTTTATCCAGGCTCTTATGTGGGGGTTGTGGACAGGTTGGGTGTCCACCTGTACCCAGGGAGTGTGACCCACGACGTTCCAGGACCTGAGCAGAGAATTGGATCCAGGTTCACTTCTGCTGGTGGATCATGCCCCCAACCTGCCATCTTGTGAAGGGCTAGCAGGTTGTTCCACGGTGGTCTTTGTCCAGTCGAGCTCATCTGCCCCCACCCTTGCCTGAAGTCATTAACCAGAAACCTGCCCTCTCTCTAGACCACCTGGAATTTAGAGGTGGGGGCGGGCAGAGAAGAAGGCTGGAATAAGACGTTTTGGAGAATCTGGCCCTGGGCGTCTTCAGGGAGCATTCTCCAGTGCTGTGTGGACATGGCTGTTCCTACTCCTACCACTTGCCTCCAGCCACTGGTGACTCAATGGCCCTCTCCCAGGAAAAGATACTCAGGGAGCCTGCTCTGTGACTGTCACATAAGCCCTGCAACCGGAAACAGGATCACTCCAGCTGCTCTGCATTCCATACTCCACCCTGGAGCCGTGTGTACCATCGGGAACTGGCCCCTAGCGGGCCTTGGTTCTCTGTGTTGTCTGTTACATCGGGGGATAATTAGAAACGTGGCTTTTACACTTGTGTGTGACTCCTTCATGGTGGTGGGATGGGGTCACACACCTACCTCGTGATGGGCCCTTGCTAGACTCCAGGATGAAGGTCCTATAGATCCAGACCAGCCTTTGTGTGTCTGAGAGTAACAGATGTTGCCCGGGCGGGAATGGGATGAGGGTCTGGCACAGTGGCCCTCTGGGTCCTTGGCCCACTTGAGGCATGCTATTGGGCACTGCTAAATAGAATGGGTTTCTTAAAACTGATGACTCCAGAAAAGGTGCTTTCTCTGCTCTGACTGGCTCATCCCTCTTCACCTGCCGCTCTCTCGGACCTTAGTTTTGTTCCTTGGTCCTGAGTTAAGCTATCCAAAAATGTCGCCATCGTCCTAGCCAGTTTGGCTCAGTGGTTGGAGCGTTGGCCTGGGACTGAAGGGTCCCAGGTCAAGGACACATACCTTGGTTGCAGGCTCCATCCCTGGCCTCTGGCGTTTGCGAGGCAACCAATCGATGTGTCTCTCTCACATCTATAATTCTGTCTCTACCCATCCCTTCCACTCTAAAAATCAATGGGAAAAATATCCTTGCATGAGGCTTAACAAAAAAGTCATCACCATCTTTTCTTTCTGCTCCCTACCCCGAAGTTCCCATGGTAACCTCTATCCCTGCCCCCAATACACACACACACACATGAAGAACCCTGAACCCTTGCACTTGCCCACTTCATTCCTTCTCACACGCACCACCATCATGGGTGCTGTCACTACCCTTCATTTGTCAGACCACAGCTCAGAAGCGGGATGATAGGGGCAGCTGTGGTAGCGTGCAGGACCAGAGACACAGGGGTTAGACCAGTGTGAATCAAAGTTCTATCTCTACCCACAGTCTCAGTTGTCTGTAAAATACAAATAATGCACCTATTCACAACTATGTTGTGAAAGAACAATTGCACAAATACCCGAAGTAACACTCTACCTACCTCATGATTACTGAGGCCCTGGGGCTGCATCTCCAGGGCTACTGAGTCCAGGGGTCCCCTGTCTGTCCTCTTTGTGGAGCAAGCTTGTCCTTGACATGCCCACCTCCCCCTGCCCCCTAAGTCTTCACTGCCCTTCCCTCTCACAGCTCCGCCTTCTGCCTTCTCGTGGCACAACCCTCCTAGCCTGGCAGGAGTGAGTCCAGCAGGGATTGAGAGGCGGGAGGGGAAGGGGGAGTGCTTTCCCTCCTCTTGGCCGCAGTCAGGATATGGCCGCTCTGGGCCCAGCCCTGACCCACTGGGTGGAAACAGGAAATATGTGAGACTTGGTGTGCGCTGGGTCTCTGTGCCTGGCTCCGCCGCTGATAAGGGCCATTGTGTGGCTGCCGGGGATGAGCCTGCCCTGGATGGATGTGCTTCCTGGAGGAAGGAAGGAAGCTTTGCTGGTCTTTCCTGGGCGGGCGGGGCTGTGAGAGGGAAGGGAAGAGTGCCTGGGGGAAGGTGACTGCCCATTGCTGGACTTCACCCTCCCATGCCAGCCTTCCCGCTGAAAGGTCACTTTCCCCCATCCACTTCCCCTTCTCACTTCCGTAAGGAATGGCTGGAGACCCAAGGGCTCGATCCCAGGCCAGGAAAGTGTCAGCTGTGATTTAGCAACAATGAAGACAGAAAAACAGGAACATTCAGGGTGGGGGGCACCTGAGGGTGCTAATGGGAAAGTAAGGAGCCAGCAGGCCTAAGGCTGCCCACAGCCAAGGAACCCAGGCATCAACGTCCCAAGTGGTTGAGGCTCCAGAGGAGGGCGGAACAGGGGGCTTGTCACACTGTCCCCCTGCCTCTCCAGCCAGCCAACCCCCTCTTCCCAATATGGCCAGCCCCCAGCAGCCCTGGTCTTTCAAACTCAAGGGGCTCATGTGCTGCTGTGGGAGGCAGGCAAATGGGGGGGGGGCGTTGCATGCAGGAGGGGCAGTGCCTACTGATGGGTCCTCTTGGCTTAGGACAGGATGTGCATTTTGATTTGGGGAGTGGTCAGTGTGCCCTCCAGCAGACACCAGTGAGGGTAGGGGGAGAGGCCGCCTACCCTCTGACCTAGAGCCCAGGGTACCCCAGGGGTGGCTATATCAGCTGCTCTGGTTACCTGGGACAACAGGCATTTCCTCCATCACTCAGCCCCTCCTCTTCCTGCCCCAACCCTCTGGGCCAAGAGGCCTCCCAATCAGACCTGGGCTGCTCCAGCTGTGTCCTGAGGAGCTGGACCAGACACATCCCCTGGGGCTGGAGTTGAAGCTGAACCAAGTGGCCATCCCAGTGTGAGACCAGATTCCTGGCTGCAGGAACCGCTATAGCCAGCGGGCGGGCAGGCAGGCCTTTGCCCAGAAGCCCCAGTGCCCAGCACGCTGGCAATCCACAGGCGGAATGGCGCTGCAAGTGGAGCTGATCCCCACCGGGGAGATCATCCGCGTGGTTCATCCCCACAGGCCCTGCAAACTTGTAAGCTGGGATGCTGTGGGTGGGAGGAAGGGTGGCAGTGTCTCCCCAGGGCCCACAGCCCTCTTTCAAGCAATCCTCTTTGGAAAGAGGTGAGCAGTGGGGAGGGGTTCTGATCCTTGGTGGAACAGGAGGGGACTGGACAAGAGGGGTAAATGGAAGGAAGGGGAAAGGTTTTAAGCGCCACTATTAACCATCACTAGGAGCAGGACTTTTCAAAGTGGGACTCTGGGTTCGAATCCCTTCTCCTCCTGCTCCCTGATCCTCAGTGGGCTGGGCTACGAACTGGGCATAACAGCACATAGGTGACAGGGCTGCTCTGAGGTCAAAGGACTAGTGCATGCAAAGCTCCGGGCGCATAGCACAGGCTCAGTTAATGTCTTCCCGTTCCCGTGGGCCCAAAGCAGTGCCAGCTCAGAACAGTAGCTCGGGCTGAACTGGGGGTGAAGGGAGAGAGGCAGTCACAAATGGGGAAGAACCGATCTGGCTCTGCCCCAAGAGGAGGGTTGGGTTTGCTGTGGGGGTGGAAAGGGGCCCTAGGATGGTGAAGGAGAACCCCATCAGACGCACCCACCCAGCTCTGCAGCGAAAGGGCTGGGTCTTCGTTGGGGGGGGTGGGGAGGAGAGAGAGAGAGAGTTGTAGGGTGTGGTGTTTGTGTGCAAGCCTCGTCCTGGGACCTGGTGGCGGAGTGTGCGGCACCAAGTCTCCGCGGACCAGGGCCGGGGG